TACCTGCTGTGAGCGAGCACCTGAGGAGAAATACCATTCACAGCAGTGCTTTACAAGCTTCCCCTCGCTGAGTACCCCTTGGTAACTGGGCGTGTTGCATCTTCAGTGCCCTAGAATTTATTAAAATTATTAAAGTGAACCTAAAATGCTAAGGAATCACAGACTGGCCTAGGCTGGAAGGGACCTTAGAGATCATTTAATCCAACCTCCCTGTCATGGGCAGGGACGCCTCTCAACTAGATCAGGCAACACATGAGGACCGAGTGGGGATCGAACCTGCGGCCTTGGTGTTATCAGTACAGTATTTTGACAATCTGAAGTTAATAAAAAAGTTTAAATTAAGAATAAACAATACAAGCCCTTCAGAAGATTTTGCATAGAGCAGGAGGGGATGAAAAAATGGGCACTGGGATGTAAATCCCAAATGAGAGATGGTGCAGGGCTACAGTGGTGTTACCAACGTGAGTGATCTTTTCGCAGATTTGTCAAGAGCTGTGAATTAGAATGCCTGTGTACGGTGGTGAAAGATGAAAATGGTAAAATTGTGTGTAATTAAAACCGTTTGGCGACGTTAGGAAGCTGTTGGGCATCACCTTCTCTCTGAGCAAGTTTGAAGCTCTTAGACTGATATGGGGAACCTTTACGTTTTTTTTTCCTCTGCAGTGAGGAATCCCTGATGTTGTCGCACTACGAGATAGTGACTTCGGTGATGTTATTTATATGTATAAAATAAAAACCCTTCATCTATGTATCATGGAGATGAGCCTTTTATCACTTAACCTAACACTCCTGACCACAGAAACTGGGACCAGAAGATGAGTAGCGTTTCACAGATGACCAGTCTGTGCGCTGGGACCATAAGGCTCATTTTGGATATTAATCAGTAGCCGTTCTTGGTTTTTAGCTGTCTCATAAAAGACCGTATCTTGCCTATTTATTTAGTTGTTGATTTAAGCTGCGCAAGATGGCTGTGTAAGGTGCTGGATTTCAGGGAATTTATCTTTTTTCCTAAGACAGAAATCGTGAAAGCGGTGAGAAACAAAAGACCAAAACGTGAACTCCACGGAAGGCTCCTGACCCCCGGTGTCAGGTAGTGGCTGAGCAGAGCTTTCAGCGCTGCGGTGATGTCCTCGTGCAAAACCCAGAGCGGCAGATGGTTGTGCTGCTGCGCAGTCAGGCTCGAGAAATGGGCAAACAGGAACGTCTCCAAGTTCCAAGGGGAATGCCAAGTCGTGCCCCTGGGGAGGAATCTCCGCAGACAGGCTGGGGGCTGGCCGTCTGGAAGTGGCCTTTGCCGGAGGAGCTCCTGGTGGAGTTGAAGAAGAGCAGAGGGTGTGCCCAGGCCACCCCAGGCTGCGGGAGGAAGAGTATCAAAAAGGCACGGGCATCCTGGAGCTTCTGACGGCTCTGACGCTTTTATGGGTGTCAGTTTAGCATGAAAACTAATTCCCTAAAACCGATACCGTGGTCTTTCCTTGCGCCGTTCCTCCATTTATCCGGTACCTGTGTGCTGCTGTTCACATGGGCTGTGCGTCTGCCGGGTGCCGCTGGGATCTCCCTTCGTTTGAAGGGTGTTGGAGCGATGGTGAAGCCCAGATGTGGGGAAACACGAGCTCAGGTCTTAACGCCAGGTTTGGCCGACTGTGTAGCAGTTTGATAAGGAAAACATTACAAAGCAGAATGCGTTTGCTTTACAGTGGTTTCACCGAGCACTGGTCGGGGTAAGTTCCACACTATATATTTATTACTGCCCACGTTTCACCGTAGGACATGTCTCCGTACGCTGATCTGTGCAAAGGTTGCAGCTCTGAAAAATAAGGTGCTGTCTGTAACATTTTGTGTCGAAGAATTATTGAAGATTCAAAGATAGTGTGCATCTTGCCTCGTTTTATTTCTTTCAGAAATGTAGGCTCGGTGGACAAGATAGCAATGCAGTCAGGCAGTATTTTGTTGCATATTTTATGTTCTGGGAAGAGATATTTATATCTACTCTTTGGCCCAGATTCTGGAACAGCCGCCAGTTTCACAAACAGCAACAATTCTGTGCTAAAAGAGGAGGAGAACTGAAGTTCCCTGTGGAATATCTCTCTCTGTACGTACATAGTGTGTGTGTACACACACATAGACACACACACACCCGTGTATGTGTATATATATAAAGTTTTGGAGAAGAGGAGGGATGAAGCGGCGGTAATTTTGACACTTCTTTTTGTGTTCTTCCTTTCCACAGCTGAATATTACTGAGACGGTCCCTGTTCAACTGCTCTTTATTGCAGTCTCGATAAGTAAATTTCGGCGATGTTGTATCCCTCAGTGTTTTCATGCTATTTGATTATGGGGTTTTCTGCTGCTCGCTTTCTTCTTTTTAAGAACTGAGGCTTGAAGTTATTTTTTCTGTATGCGTTAGGAATGTTAAATTTTCCCCTATTTAAATAACATCATAAAAGTAAAAAATAAATAAATTTCAGAAGCACATCAAAGCTGTCCAACCCAAATTGTGTAATTCCAGTCAGTTGCTGACGGGCAGTGGTCTGTCAGTGTTTCTCATCCCCGTCTCCGCCACCTTCTGCTGCGATGGCAGCGTGCCTGTGGGCAGAGCGTCGCCCATTGAGCCTTTGTTGCGGCAAAAGGCGCTGTTGCTTCATGAGAGGGCTGAAAATCCAGGCACTTTCCTAAATGCTGGGTTTTATTAAATAATATTCTGCTTTCTTGGAACTGTCAGCTCAGAATTCGAGACTCAGTTTGCGTAGGACCTTTTCTGAAGCTCACTGATGGCCCTGTAAAAATTCCCATGGGCTTTACTTAGTTATTGATTAAAAAAAGAAAAAGAAGAGATTGCTTGTGCCTTAGGAGATCCCACTATTGAAGGCCTTTTTCATTGTTCCAGAGTTCCTTGATTTGCTGAGCAGGATAAGAATTAACAAACCCCATCATTTGTATTTTGCTGAATCTGTGTTTGCGTGTGTATTGTGTGTGTATTGTGTTTGTATCTCTGGCTGAGGTGACAGCTTTGAGCCCCTGACCCGACTGAGAGTGTCAGGTTTTCTGGTGTGTGTGTGTAAAAATGTTCTCACTAGTTTCTAAACCCTAGGATTATATTAAAAACCGAAGTAAGTCTTGATGCTCCTTAGGTGCAATTCCATGCTTCCCAGCTGGGGAATGAACGCTAGATTTCCACGTGGCCCCGCAGGACTGCTGTGTGCAACGGTGTGGTTACGCTGCGGTGTAAACTCCCGATAGCCTCTCTCTTGAGTCAGGGATGTTTTGTAATTTAATACTTTACTTTGGCAGATCACTTCTTGAAGGAAACCCTGTATTTACTTTGGCTGTATGTGTGTCTGCTAACTCTGCATAAATTGATCTAACTAAAAGAGAAGCCATTTATCTTTTTCCGGTTAGCTTGATTTCTTTTTCAATTTTATTTTTCTTTAACACAAGGAAATTTTTTTGTACCTGGGCCTCTCAAAACAGAAGACTGCAAAACCAACTGTTATAAACACTGCTTGACAAATTTTTTTCTTTTTTTCTTTTCTCTTTCAGATGAGAACTCTCCAGCCAATTTCTGGGATTCCAAGAACCGCGGAGTGACTGGCACGCAAAAAGGACAGATCGTCTGGCGAATTGAACCTGGGCCCTACTTTATGGAATGTGAGTACGTTTCTCCACAGGCAAGCACGCCGTTGTGTCGAGGCAGGTCGGTGGGACGGCGTTTGAGAGCCATTTCATCAATCCCTCTGATAAAGCAGGGGAACTGATCGTGTTGTTCTAGGGGGCAGTGTCTTCCAAAGCGTTGGCTGCTTGTTTTAAAAATGGAGTTGAGCTTAGAGGTACAGTCATTTTGTAGGGATGCTCTTAGCGTGCCTTGGTTTCCAGGAGGAGGAGATTGCCGTGTGCAATGCTGCACAGTCTGTATATGCATTGAAACAGGAAGGCCCTTCCCGAGAAGTTTAAAATTCCAACAAGACAAACATTGATGGTAAGTGCAGATGAAGGAAAAGGTAATAAGCTGGTAGCGCTTGGTAATGGTTGTTAGTATGACAGTTTGGTTTGTCTCTAGGAGCTGCCAGCCTCCTGTCCAGTTGTATCAGGATTTCCCAGCTGAACTTCTGTTGTGCTGGGAAATCCACTGCGCGCTTTTGAGACACTGGGAGTGTCTGTGTGACTGGAAGAAAACATCTCCGGTTGAACTCTGTAAGGAGTATTGGTAGCCAAGCTTCAAATCAGAGAACTATGCCACTCCCTTGGGTGACCAGAATTTATAGGAAGCTAAGCCATTCTGCTGTGTTTGGGTTTTTTTTAAAAGATATTATTATTTTTGTTTCTGATTTTTTGCTTTTTGATGGAAAGAAGCTACCTTGCCATCTGAAGTGTATGATCCCCCAAGGAAACTGATGTTCTAATCCTAGGATGTTGTGCCTGAGCCTGCTGGAACTCTGATGTGCCAAGCATCAAAGTGGCAATCGGTCCCAAAAGAGCTCTGAGCTGCTCTGCCACCTGTTTAGCCTCACAGCAATGAATCTGTCTTCATAAATTTAAAAAAAAATAATACTCCCACTCTTACTACTTCACTGTACACTGCAGTGCTGCTATCTGTAGGTCTTGGCAGAAGTTTTTATTCTAATTAGCTGGTGTTACAGCAATTCATGTATTTCAAGAGGTGTTGTATGCCCTGCACTATAAATAATTATTAAAACTTATTTCTACAACTCGTTGTTGAATCCTGCCAAGTTACCCTCTGAGTTATGCAGCACATTTCTTTAACAAAAAGAAAAGGAAAAAAAAAGCTTTAATAGGATAAAATGAAATTCAATTCCAGGAAGAATGATTGAGTGGAAGATAAAAATCAAGAAAATAGTGAAGATCAAGATAATGAACTTTCCTGGTGCCAAAGACAGTGGTGTATTAAAGCAGATGACAATGCCTGTTGGAAGGGTTCATTACCTCATCGTTCTCGTCTGTCAGCTCTCTCGCTGTTGTTGCCAGTACGGGCAGTTTGACTTCAGGGAGGTTTCCCCGTGTCTTTGGGTTGGTTACCTGTTTCTCTAACATATGGAGACGAGGCTTTTGAACGGTGTTTTTTTACTTCACGTGAGTAACGTAGGCTGGTACTTCAAAAACGAGTAGTTTCAACTTAAACCCAGCTGCAACTGACTTTGCAACTAACTGCACGTGGCAACCACTGATAGAAAGAGGGCGGCATGTACGTTCCTCGGTCGTGGTTAGGTTTGCTGAGGAACAGTCCCACTGCCGTACAACGAACGAGACAAGCGATTACGCGGCAGCTACGAGCTGTACAAAGGAATGTGTGTGGCCATGTGTTCCCATAGCACATAGTACGGCAGATGAACATGTCACCGGTGACGCTTGTGCTTCCAGCAAGAGGTCAGGAATTGCACCCAAGCACTGAACTGAATTTCCGACTGCGCTTTTTAAACCCAAATACATGGCTGTGTTTGCTCAGCAAGGCTTTTTCTTGTAGTTTATGGGTGGTGAAGCAACCGCGATGCAGATACAGGTAGCTGCGTTTTGGGGAGGACTCTAGAGCTGGCGATGTCTTGTAGTCACAAATACCTTTGCTAGGAGGCAGAATTTATTGACTAGAGGTCATGGTGTTGGGGGTTTGTTGTATTTACTTCTCACAGTGACCACAGGCAGCAAACTGTGCTTGTTAGCAGAGTTCTGCCCAATAATTAAAATAATCCTTTAGGATTTGCAGTCAAAAAATCTGTCTTTTTGGCAAGAAAAGGACCGGAAGTTCCTAACGTTCAACCATGAGTTGCAGTGGGTCCATATGAACATTGTCCCAAAGAGTTTGGTTGTGTATTTTCCCCTGTTGGTGTCAGAGCTTGGGGCCATCACGTTTCTTTCTCCAGTAACATAACATCTCTCGGCGTGAGGGGCAGAGGCATCGCTAACAAGCTGTACGCAGGCAAATCTCATGCAAAAGAAGTATTTCCATTTTAATTGCATTAATGTTTATCGTGGGAGTCAGCTGGATTGGGCCTTGGATTCCTTCTGCAGTCCTTAGATTTGTGTCTGCTAAAAAAGAGCATTTATGCCTTAATTTGGGAAGCTCTTCTTCCATGAGCATAATTGTAAACTGTTAATAGTTTCTCTGAGGTCGGTGAAATTTATGCTTCTGTTTTGAGGTAGGCCTTGGATAAACATTTTTCTGAATTTCACGTTGCTGTACGTCTGCGGTCTTGTAACGCGGTTTTTCGAGTCAGTCCATTTATTCCTCTTAAAATCTCTCCGTGTGGATTCAGTATTCTCCTGTCTTCCAGGCAAGGAGCGTATAAAGGCGTAGTTTGCCATCTGCTCTGTTCAGATCAAGCAACCTTCGGAAGGGAGAGCCTCATCACCTTCGTACAAACCCCAGGCGTTAGTTCCCCCCACAGCATGCAGAATTAGCAAAACAAGGGCGATCGGAGAAAAACTCAGTTTTTTTAGACAAAAATCAACACAAGCAATTCTGTAGGCTCTGCTACCCTGAGAAGGGAGAATCACAGAAATCAACAGTGAAATAACGAGGAGCGAACTTAATGTGTTCTGCAAGTGCAAGCAGCCTCTGAGGAGAGTGGCTGAGGAAGGGGAGGGGAGGGAAGAGTATGCGAAGGAGACTACTTGGAAAACACCACATCCAGCTCTCCATCCTGAGCAGACAGCGTCCTTAAGCTGTCACCTCGAGGCAGGGAGTGGCTCTGGAGGGCAGAGCGTGCCGGCACGTCGCCCTCTGCCCTTTCCCTGGGGAAGGAGCAGAAGTGCCGTGTAAGAGCGAGCGGGAGCTCAGGTCATTGGAGAGGTTCAGAAGGGTGGATCGGAGCATCGGTGGGCCCGAGATGCTGTTTCCTTACTCACAGAGTGTAGAGGTGGCTTCAAAACATCCTGCTCTGAGGATTGCTGAGGTGTGGGGGCAGGAGAACAGTGACTCACTGCACGGCTCCATCAAGGTGTTTGCTGTGTGAGCTGCAGAAGGATTGCTGAATGTGGCTACAACTTGACAGGTTTTGTTTCTCCTCCTGGCCCGGGAGTGCTTTTAGAATGCACGGTGTTTCTGTGCGTGTAGCACTCTGTGAGCTGGGGATGGCAGGGGCTCCCCGCGCGGCACCAGGGTGGAACAGAGGTGACGGTGCTCCTTGTGGAGAACAGAGACGGCAGAATGGTGGAGTGAAATGATCGTGGAAGGGCTGGAGATTGAAAAAGCACAGAAAAGGAAGCTTGAGTGTTAGGAAGACTGGTCGCCCAAACCTGCTGCTCATTTATGAACCGCTTTTTCCAGGTTGGTTTTCGGTGGTGCGGGGAAGGACAGGTTGTGTCAGAGGTGTGCTGGACTTGTATTTGTAAGCTAGAGCTTTGGTCCCATGAACAAATTACAGTATCTGCAGGAAACACCTTCCCCTACTTTAGCTGTCGTGTAATGCCCTTGTTACTTATACCTTTTGGCATCCCAGTCATTACTGTGAGTAGAACAGAAATATATTTATTTGCATGTATTTTTTATATGTTTTTTTTACCAGTGCTGTGGCTTGAGCAGTAATCTGTAGTGGCAGCTGTTGGGATTTCTCCGGAGATGTGTGGTCACGTCAATCATTCCCAAATCATCTTTGGGGTGCCGGTGGTTAAAATTACTTCTGGTGCCACACTGCGATACTTGGAGGCTCTCTGTTTTGGACTTAAAATCTCAGGTTTGTGGCATGAGTAGATTTTGAGAGATACTCAGAAACATGGTATCTGCATTACGCTGGTACCAGCATGTTACAAGTGAGGTTTTGTGTGGAGTTCTCTGTATTTAGTCCCTATTCCCGTGAAATGATAACTTCTGCCAAAATAGGGTATTGAGACTGAAACTGCCATGCTTTGTAGCTAGCAGAGCAGACTCCCAGTTCCTTTTTTTTGTTGAAAAACCTAATAGATACTGAAAGGGGGTAAAAGCCCTCAGTTTAATAATTGAACTTGCTCAGCTTCCAGTTTTAAGGGCTGCTGTAGCAAGGAGTTTTGTTACTAGAGATATGATCAGGGTTTAGTATTTTTAGTAGTTTTGACCAAAGTGGTCAATGTTAATAAATGCTCTATCGACATTTATCATTTTTAGATGTATAATTTTTTGGGCAATTTGAACTGAATCCTGCAAAGGTGCCGGTTTTCTCCTGTGGGATTGTGCTGAGCCTGGCACACGGCTGCAGCCAGCGCCCTTTCAGTGCTCTGTCTGGGACTCAACGGTTGTTGTCCCTCCCCGTTTATGAATGCATTCTCTGGGTTGCAAATACTTCAGTTATTCTTCTGCTGTTCATATCTGTTGTCTCTTAGCAGCTGCTTTTGGGTATCACAACTGAAACGGGACTGGGTCTTGCATTTTTTTTACATTTGCCGCAAGCCTTGTTGACTTCCTTAAACACGTAATACCTGCAGCGTTTGGGTTTGATGGTTGGGCTATAATTAAATGTTTTGCCAAACTGGAATGTAAAAGGCAGCGCTTGTGGCTGCAAATAAGAGTGTCTCAGAGCGCCAGAGTTACCTTCATGTGTTTATGTATTCCAAGTTTGTTTATTCTGAGTTTCTTTCTATCCTAAAGCATTTTTTCTGATGGGCAAGGTTAAAGTATTAAAGGCAATAAAAAGGTGGTTGAAATGAGGGACTGTGCTTTTAAAACGTCCCTAATCCCCCAAGCTGTTGTATGGTGTAAGCTGATCTCTTTGTTACTGAAGAGGCAAAGATGTGTGGTCCACAGAGAGAAGTACAGCGCTATAATTTCATGCAGGAGTTCTTTTGAAATTCAAATGTCAGTGCTTGAATCCCAGAAACCTTCGTTAATTCAAACATTTTTATGTAATGGACCTGAGCTATAAAAATATGGTTATAAAATGATAATAGCTGTTTCTTTAAAAAGAAGGGGATTATGGTTTTATGGAGTGTTCAGACTAATTAACATATATATAAAAGCTCCCCTTTTTAAGGCTGAGATAACCTTTAAGGAATCATAGATACCCCAGTTTCATTTTTGTCATATTTTATATGAGGAAGGAGTTTCTGGAGGTCTGTATAATGTCTGGAGGAATGGCAATGACAATGGGCTTGTGGCATCCATGAGATAGAGCTAAGTACAGTCGTTTTATTGCCCCATGAATGAAAACACCTTTTGTTCTGAAATGTTACGTTTGTCTTCAGTGAGACAGCCAATAGTCCTGTTGCCAGGGAGGGATGTCTTCTCCTTGCTGGATTTACGACTATTAACATTTTCATTCCCAGTCACGTAGTGCACAAGCTAATGAGCTTGCTGAGGGGAGAAGTTGGAAGGAAAAAGCCAGAAGTGGACGTGAAACACGTGGAAGCGAGGTGGCAGGAGAAATTAAAGAATCTGGGCACACTCTGCAGGGGGCACGTGCTGTTGTGCCGTGTGGAGTGTGGAATGGTTCGGGGGAACGTCTGCGTGTTAAGGCGGTGTTGAGCTCAACTCCCAAAATACTGAAAGTCCTGTTTACGCGGAACTGAGCTTCCTGGTTCTGCAGAGGTCTGTGTTGGTAAAGGGCCTTCAGTGTAGGTAGTGGGTGGAGATGCGTTCTGTCAGGAACAGCCACAGATACCTCTTTTCAGTCTATCCATAGCTCAGGAATCCATCGGTCATCAGGAAAAAACCCTATTCTAGTCGACACTTTTTCTGATAATGCAGTACAAGAAATGTCAGAAAGCCAGATCCTCAGCTCTTCTGAACTGATAGGGCTCCACTGAGATCTCTTCTACTGTTCCACAATAACCACGGTTTCTAGTGTTACCAGCCATGAAAAAGAATTTAGCTGTCTCTGGTCCTGTTGAAGGGATTCTATTCTTGCTGTGTACAAGGTCCCGTCTTGCAAACCCACATTCACATTGGCAGCCTCTGCACACATGTGACGGGGAGCCCATTTCTCAATTTCATGCTGGATTTCCAGCACAGCTTCTCTTGTGTTAATCCCTTCGACACAACACAAACAGCGGCTCCGCTGTTCCAGTCTGTAGTGCTGGGCAAAGCTCAAATTCAATCGGTGCCGCTTCTCTTGGGAAGTGGGAGAAAAAGTCTCCAAGTCGTCTGCTTTTTCTCATTATTTCTAGCAATTAGTCCTGAAGATTTTTATTTTTAAATTTAGCTTATGGGGAAGAGACCATCAAATCTATTTCTTGAATCAAATATTGTTTTCTTCTAGGACCAGCCCCATGCCAGTACTGGAAAGTACTGTATGCTTGTAGCAGTCATTGAGAGAAAGAAACCCAAGGATACAAAGCTCGTAGCATTGCATTTTTTAACATGCTCTCATGCAGTCGTCGTACCTTCACAGGGGGATTAAGAGATGCCCAAGACATGAGTCCTGGTTGCTTAATATGTGCATTTTACAATGCAGAGAATCCGGCACTTGGTATAAATCCTGCCAACTTTCACAAGTGCCAAACTCTGATTTTACGTGAGCTGGAAGTTGTTGTGCGTCCACTTGGATTTAAGCTTTGTTGGTAGGTCAGCAGGGCGGCTCAGTTTAGGAGAAGGCGGAGGGGAGACCTCATCACTCTCTACAACTACCTGAAGGGAGGTTGTAGAGAGGCGGAAGTTGGTCTGTTCTCCCCAGTGGTGAGTGATAGGATGAGGGGGAATGGCCTAAAGTTGTGCCAGGGTTGGTTCAGGTTGGATATTGGGAACAATTTCTTTACGGAGGGGTTTGTCAGCCGTTGGCACAGGCTGCCCAGGGAGGGGGTAGAGTCCCCGTCCCTGGAGGGGTTTGAGAGACGGGTGGGTGTTGTGCTGAGGGACACGGGTTAGCTGTGTCCGTAGGGCTGGGACAAAGGCTGGACTTGATGAGCTTGAAGGTCTCTTCCAAGCAAAACTGTTCTATGATTCTGTGAACCTGCAGGTCATGACTCACAGTTTCTAGATTCCATAAACCTTTGGAGGTGATGAGAAATCCTGTCTGCATTTTGATTTTTGCTGTCAAGCTCGTGGTAAATCAAACACGTGTTGGTTATGTGTGTGAACTCGGCTGGGAGGAGGAGGAGGAGGAGGAGGAGGAACTGGGATCAGCAGCTCCTCCACCTCCACAGCCCCTGGAGGCACTGTCAGCTGGTCCCTCTGCTTTGAAGGGTAGTTCTCAGGTGCCTTCTCTTTGTTCCGGGAGGAAGATAGTAAAGACACATTGACCTATAACTGCAGCAAATTTAAAAATGGATAAATAAATAAGTAATCCTCTTCGGCTGAACAGGCTTATGGGATGGATTTTCCTGCTCCATCTGAGTAGGGATACGCAGGTATTTTATCTTGCAGCCTTGAAATACCTCAGCCCTCAAGGAATCATGCCGTGTGTGTCTCAGAAGTTTATGCAGACCGCTGCAATTCCGTACTTCAGGAGTACTGACATATTGTTAACCCCAGTCAGAGGAACTGAGCTGCCGGGACTTCTGTGCGCATCCTCCGGCTGGTCTGAGCTGGCAGCTGTGATTTCTGCCTGCAGCCACGGCTGTACCCGGAGGTGACCACTCATCAACCTCACTCAGAAGAGTTGTCCCAGCAGAGAAAGGAAGCTTCCCGATAGGGAACACCCACAGGATCACAGGCAGCCGTAATTAGAGCTGTTCTGCCGGATTGGAGGAATGCAGAGGAGCAGTGGAGGTCAGGCTGCGGTTCAGTGTAATATTATTTTGGTTGCAGTAAATGCAGGTTAGCAAACAAAACTTTATTCAGTGGGCCTAGAGATGTGGTACGACACTTACTTTGCCGTGTTCCAGTATATGTGCTTCCAGTTTCCTTCAGATGTGTGTTACACAACTTACTCCAAAGCCTGGCAAGAATCGTGTTAGTAGCACATGTCTCACTAAGCCTTTTTCATAGCTGATTATATTGAAATAGTAGCGGAAATGCAAGCTGCACAATTAGCTCAGTTGCTCTTTTTGTCTGTTAAGTGACAGGAGGACCCAAGACACAAGGAATACTTCAACAGGAAATTCAGAATAGAGCTACATTCTATATCTCCACTCCACTCCTACCAGAGTGTCAGAATATCTGTAGGTCTGCTTATTCTCTTACTTTAGCAGGATCAGGGGTGTCTTGGGTTTCACATACTGATAGAAAAAGGTTTGAAAGGTCACAGAAAAAGGGAAATCTTAGCAGTGAATAATAATTCACATTAACCCCATTGTGTTGAAATGGTCTTGACTTTGGAGATCAGTACTGATCTCGTTTCCTTCCCTCTGGACCTGTGCAGAACATACAAATGTGGCTTTGTGTGCAGACTTTGACCTTTCTTACCCAGTAGCGACCATCCACATCTCACTGCGAGAACTGGGGAAAAAAGAACTCATGGGTTGTCACTGACCAGGTAGAAATTTAGTTAAAACTTTATATATAAAAATATTTGGTTTTTAAAAAAAAATAAATGGCAGCATGTAGCAGCTCTTCAGGTAAATATTTGGGTTTTCTGTGAGACAAGTTTCTGGTTTTCTACAGGCTGAGTGAAAATTTATTTCAGTTACTGTGTGCTTTTACAGCAGAGACTTGTCAGTCAGCTGCCCAAACTCGGACTCCCTGTAGGCACACACTCCCCTCTTTGTCTCTCTTTCGCCTAGGGGTTGGTCATGAAGGGCTTAATGCAGTTTTTGCTTTGTTTTCAGCTGAAATAAAGATCTGTTTTAAATACTACCATGGTGTTAGCGGAGCCCTCCGAGCTACAACCCCATGTATCACTGTGAAAAACCCTGCTGTGATGGTAAGTACAGCCTATTAGTTCTTCCTGTTTGCGTAAGACAATAATATTAACTGTCAGACAAACCTGCCAATGTGAATCTCCTAGTTTGTGTGGAAACTAATGTTATTAAATAACTTAAAAAGGCAAAGTGGGTTCCTCACAGCTCCAGAATTCTTTATCAGCTGTTCAGCTGCTCAGAACTGCTTTCCATACTCATCTGTGCAACAGAAGTGGGCGAGTTTTCCCTTGGATTATTGCTTTTGTGGTTCAGTAGGTGAGTTGACTCCTTGTTCTATCACTAGAATGGCTGGCTGAGGCTTCTTCATCAGGCTGTCACCTCCTCTGCCTGGTGTTTGGGCAGTGCCTACCTGCAGAACCGCTTGGCTTGAAAGCCAGCTCCGCTGGTTTCTTCATGGTAGATTATACGGCCAGATGCACATCTCTTGTCTTGAAAGAAAAAGTCTTCTGCTAGTTGAAAGGGATTTCAGTGGAAACCAAACCTGAAAACCTTTGAAGTGAGAGCTTTGGGGACTGACCTGCTGGAGAGCAGCGCAG